GAAACCCATTTTGTAGATGATTGACTGGAGGCACAAAAATATTTTAAGTCTGATCAAGATCACAATAAGTGATACAGCCAAGACTAAGGGTGGTCTGTTAGCAATTATTTATTCTGTTTTTCAATACAACCAAATGTCAAACTGTCACTGCTCTAGGGCTTTGTTTTCCCTTGTTGCTATGTAATTGCTCTCCTCCTTTTCCACTTTCTTTTTTTTTTTTTAATATTTTTTTCAGTTGCAGATGGAGACAAAATCTTTATTTTATTTGTTTATTTTTATGTGATGACAGGGATCGAACCCAGTGCCTCACGCATGATAGAGAAGCCCTCTACCACTCAGCCACAATCGCAGCTCTCCTTCTCCACTTTATCTTGTATGTGCTTTTATGTTCTGTTTTTCTTCTTTTTCTTTCCTTTTCTTTTCCTCTAACTTTCTCTATTCAATTTTCACAATGAACATAATCTAAACTAGATCATCTGGTATTTTACTAGGGAAGACAAAGAAGGAATAGTTAGAAAGAAGATGAGTTAGGATTGTACATACAAAAGAGTTCCAAGAAACAAGAGAAAACAAAGGACTGACCTTTGAATCTAGAAGAAAAAAAAAGATGTGTAATTATAATTGAGAGAAATATTTTAAATAAACTGTTGAAGAGAAGGTTGTGAGATAGAATAACATTTGTTAAGGAAATGAAGACAAGCAATCACTGTAGACTACTTATTTTAAAAACTAGCATTAAACAACAGAAAGAACTAAGATCACAGCTAAAAAGGACAGCTAGATCAAATAAAGGTTGGAAGGGCAGTTATATTTTGGTTTTTGTTTGTTTAACTAGACAAATCTGGGCATGATTAAATACTAAAGTAAAACCAGTTGTCTACTGTCAAAAGTCAAATTGTTCTATGACATTAAGAACTTCATGTGTCATGTTTATAGATATCATGTCCAAGGTTTGGCACATAGTAGATGATTATTATAAATACACTTATTCAAAAAAAATTACAAATTTTTTTATAATAAACCCAGGTTTCGGTTGCAGTATTTAATCCTATATCTTCTACCAACTGAATGCTGCACTAAAACGTTCATTCATTATACAAATATTGGTATACTATCTCTGTGTGCCAGGTACTATTCTAGGCTATGTGAACATAGCAACAAACAAACTTAAAATACCCTTCCTCTAATGGGAAGAACTGAACACATACTATAAACTTAAAAGTAGGAGATGCAAAGAGTAATAGGCCCTATAAGCAATAGAAAAGCATAATATTTACTATTAATGGAAGGAGCGAATAATGTTGCATATAGAATGGTCATGGAAGACCTCTCTGTTTAGATGTTATCTGTATAAGAAAATAAGTCAGGCAAATAATCAAAGAACACTGTGGACAGATAAGATAATAAACCCAAAGATCTGAGAAAAAAAAGCACTTAGAGGATAGTGAGGAAGAAGAAGGTAAACCTTCAGATTGAAGTAAAAGGAAAGAGTAACAGAACCAAATGCAAGATATCCATAGTTCACCTATAATTTTAACAGCACTTAATCATTTATGAATTCTTTCACACATAAATAATTTTTAAATTAATGCAAGGGGGAAAATTAGAAAAATTTCAAATTTATTACCCTGCAAAATTTGTTTTGTATTTTTCCTTATATAGCAATAAATTCTACTTATTTCAATACTGTAAGCAATAATCTGAAATACAACATGTTATTCAATAAGTTAAAAGTACTTTGAATTTTTGATATTATTAACATTCATGAATCTCAATTATGATACAACTTCCTTATAGAAAGCAGTGTTCTACTCAATAGATGTAAATATTCTCTCTGAACAATTCTACTGGAATAGCCAGTGGACAAGACTCCAAGCAGGCACAGGTGACTAATTCTAAGAGCTGCATGTTAAGAAAAATACACATTAGTGTAATTCTAGTTTTCTAATTGTATCCCTTTCTTTCTTATCTGTCAATAACTTAGTATGGTTTAAAATAATTCACCTAAGTGGGATATGTAACTCATTGACAGAGCACATGTTTAGCATGAGCAATGTCTTGGGTTCAATCCCAAGCACCAAATAAATTTCATTAAATAATTCAGCTGTTTCCATATATGTCGTAGTACCTACCACAGGTTAGTATACATAATGGACAACAGATTCCATTAAGTCAAGATATTTTTCATACTACTATTTTTTGTTTAGTAATGCTAAGTAAAAACAATAATAGAAATAAAATATTTTAGTATCAAAACATCTCTATACTACAGATAAAAGATTTTCAGAGGACATGGTTTGGGGAAAGCAAGGTAATTAGCAAAAGAAGCCAAATTTCTTCCAAGAAATTTTAAAAAACAAGTTTTAAATTTCTTTTTATGAAATAGAAATATTAAGAAAACATGGAAAATGTACATTTGAAAAACAGAGAATGTGCCTACAGTTATAAAAGCAATTAAAATAAAATGAATAAAATCTCAGCGTTAAACATGCTGTAAAATGTGCACTTTCAATGCAGACAAGATGGTTACACCCACTCCTATTAGAAAACTGAGACAAAATGGGAAACTAATGAGCTCAGCCGCAAGGGATTTATTTGTTTGTTTTTTAATTTCATTTACTTGCTCAAAACATAATTTCTATTTTACTCTAATGTCTTTTGTAGGATATAAGGGGAATCAAATGTTCCCAAATAAGAATCTGAATAAACTGTGAAAATGCATAATACAAGCTTCATAGTTCTAATGCACATCTACTATATTCTGTCTTAATATTTTTGACAGGTTAATCATTTGTCTTCACGTTTAAAGAACACAAGTGTTTTGCTAGGCTGATAAATAGATCATGGGGGTAAAAAGAAGTGCTGGGGTAGAAGAAGATCTGTTTTTTGAAGATGCATTCTTAAGCAAATGTGGGGACATATACTTCTGTACTGACCATGGTATGCGGAAGATGTGGTTCATTATGAAAGGAGAAATAAGTAAAGCCCACTGATCAAAAATAAACATTTTAACAGGAAATTTGCTATTTGGAATAAGGAAATAAGTTATCCTGGAAACCTTTCAGACAAAAAAAAAAAATTAAAAAACAGCCCTAAACATTGTGCTAACATCAGCAACTTTTAAAAATCTCAAAGCTAAATAGAATCCAAACAGGTTACAAAAGAATGGATAAAGTAGCAAAGGTGACAAAATTAATGTCTGTTTGAAAAACCAGTTCACCGAGCAAAGCAAGGAGCTAGATGAATAAAGATATATTCGGTATTCATTTTCAGTTTTAACTGGCTATATTTAGTACTGTTTGTTTTGCTCTGACTGGAGCTTGAATTTAATTAGAAACAAAAATATGAGTAAAATTTTCATCAAATTCAACTGCAGTTCTGTTTTAATTTTTAAATAATGTTCAATTTCAGGTCTTACTTAGGAAAAAAATGTAAATCTGATTCCATGACAACAAATAGTACTGTGATGAACATCAGTAATGAAAATGCCAAGCCCCAGTCCAATATCTAATACGGAAATGTGATTTAATGTAAGTTATGAAACATAAACACAACGACAGTACAACAAAAGAACTGGAGAGTCCACTGGAATTTGCTTAAGTTACAGATCATGATTAGTGACTAACATGTGTTAATGACTAACATGTATAAACAATTCTAGCTGGATTTTTTTTTTTTAGCTTAACTAGAATTGAAATTTGAAGAGAAATTTATGAAAGCAATTTTAAAGCACTTCTATTTACACTATAAAATTTTATTAAAAATAATTCCGATCTATACAGATACCCAACACCACCTAAAACAAGTGAACTTGTTTTTTCTCTCTCTCCGTTTCAATTAATGATACCACTTATTAGAAGTTCCTAGACTTAGAATTTCAGCATCTTTTCCCCCAGCAATCTATTCATTGTTACCTATTCACAAAGTCCTAATACTTCTGAGGTTTGTCCTCTTAGCTCCAGTCTCACTATGAAGACATTAGTTTAAATACCGCCTTTATTAGTCTCCTACAATCAGACCCAAACTGGTCTCCCTGTCTCTAGCTTCAATTCATCTTACCATCTTACCAATACATTTTACCAACTCTTGCCAGATTAAAGCTCTAAAGGACAGATCATGTCATTCTACACCTCAAAACTTCTAAGAGGTTCCTGCTTTAATAAAGAATAAAAGACCAGGCTCATTAGTTCATCAATCAAAGTCCTGCTCAATATAGCATCAATCTACCTTTCCAACATCACTCCCCATTATGCTCTTCTATTTTAATGTAGAGGTACTCTTCCCTATGGACAAAGAAAATTAATTGTTATTTCTTGGACCTGGCCTATAATTTCTACTTCCCTGATTAATGTACTCCTTCTGCTTAAAGTAATAATCCCAAACTTATCCAATTATTTAGGATACAGGGTACAGTTTAAATGTTACCTCCTTCATGATGCCTTCCCCATTCCCCACCTATATGTAAACTCCTTCAATGAACACCTACAGAACCTTGTAAATTCATCAAGTAATACCACTTTATAACATGGCTCTTTACAAAAAGAAACCTCTCTTACTAGATTTCTTACGGGAGAGAAAAACCATGAGGGGAAAATTCCTTAAGGTAAAATACCTGTAAAGTCATGCAGTCATATATACACACACATATATAAGTTAAATGCATAAATTAATGAGCATACATATTATATTAATAAAGAGGTATAAAAGTCAATAAAATAATATGATGACAACATACCTAGTGTAATATATTCCACTAATTTGGAGCTAAACTCTGATCTAAATTTTAAGAACCAGTACTGCAAAGTAACTACGTTCTCCTATTAGATTATCAATATTAATGTGGGGGGGGGATCAAATCTACAATTCTTATAACACAAAACTCAAACATCAGGACATGCTATTTGCTCTACATATATTATTAGCAACTTTGTTTTCTGACTGAACTAAATTGAGAAGAAACTTTTGACAGCATTTTGAAATAACAGAAAATTCTTCCTTACTTCTAGTAAGCTTAGGAAACTTTTTTTTCAGTTTCTTCCTTAATGGATTAAGCTCAGGCATTATTTCTGGAACAGCTACATAAAAGTCTACTTGAACTTCATCATCCAAAATCTGAAAATCAGGGGAAAAAAATAATCTTAGATTATCTTTTGAAAAACAAGTAATTTTCATTTTGATACAGAAGAGACATTAAGCACAATTTTTTTCTTCAAATTCAAGGACCTTATGAATGCACTTACCAATTAAGAAAACAATCAGAAGCAAAACATTTTCTTTTAAATACAGACACATTCATTTTTAACAAAATATTTAAAGGTTTTAATTTCTCCATGAAGTTGTGTTAGGTAAAAAGGCATTATAAGCTAGAATATAGCACTAAAATGTATACAACTCATATAACTTCACAAAGTAGAATTCATGTCTGTTAGAATTGAAGAAATAAGCTTATATTTTTGCAATAGATCACATGTAAAATTAATAATCACTAGGTGCCAAACTAACTAGCAACCAGTAGCTTTATAAATTTAGAGCATGGAGAGAGCTGAATCTATAATTATTTTCACAAAGAACTGAACTAAAATTCTCCTTGTCACCAATACCTAAAAATAAAAGATGTGGGGGGGCAGTCAAAGACAAGTTCATGCACAGTTTATTATCCATATTCTATTTCCATTTTCAGAGCAGGGGATTAATATTCAATTTTTAAAAGATTTTTTTTCATTGATTCAGGCAAGCACCTAAAGTAACTATTATACTACTATACTACTTAAAAATTTAATTGATTATAAAATGAAACAACTGTTTAGAACAATATTGCCTGGGCAACAAGTATTTCAGCAATTTTTGTTTGTTTTCTGTTTTTGCATAAAATCCTACCAAAATATGCTACTCAAAGCCTTGGTTTAGGGTTACATGGAATCCAAAAAATTTGAACTTTATAATAAAAAAAAGCACTGATTCTTGAATTTTATCTTTCTGTTACCAATATTTCATTTTACAAATTCTTTACTCCTTAAATAACATACCATGTTCTCCTTTACAATAATAAATGAGTACTTCTCAAGTGCCATGAATTCTGCTAAATATATTACATGATTTAGTTCATCCAATCTTTACAACGACTCTACTAGGCAGGTACTACTATTGACCACGCATTCCAGATAAAGAAACTGAGGGCTTAGGGAGGACAAGTTAGTCTCTGCACTCCTCAGAGTGAGAGCCAGAATTCAAACACAGATAATGTGATTTTAGAATCAGGACTCTCAGCCTTGGAAATAGGAAAGCAGAGGCAATTTTGAAAATGTCAAAAGAATTGTATGTAAATTTTCTACTTAAAGATTTTCCAAAATTAATTCTGTGTCATGTTCCTTTAAATTAAATTAAAGTTATGTTTGAAAGTTATGCTATAATTAACCTTAACCTTGAAATAATACAAATCTGTGGATGGAAATCATGCTCTTAGAGATAAGTAAAAACATGAAATTACTTTCAAAGTTCTCAGAACCAAGCATATTTGTGATATTACAAAATAAAATTTAATAAAGTTCTTATCTAAGAAACAACTGAAAAATTAGTAATTTTATCATAGTTTACATTTTATAAGAGCTAAGTAATTACAGTACACTAATTCAGAAATATAGGAATGGGATTGGGGATGTAGCTCAATGGAAGAACACTTGCCTAGCATGCACAAGGCCCTAAATTCAATCCCTAGAACCACAAAAAATAAATTAGTTAATTAAAATAAAAATACAGGAATGCATTTTTAAAATTGCAGCCATGATACTATTTACACAACTATGTAGAATTTACTTCATAATCTGAATACCTTCTAAAAATAACATGGACACTCTTTTTAAAAGAGACTATGGGGTAACTTGCAAGAATACAGTGATTAAGATTACTTAAACAAATGGCACAGTCCCTTTCATAACAGATCCACCACTGAGGTCCCTAAAGAAAAATGCTGGTACCTGTAAGTTTTATGTATCAAATAACTTCAAAGTGTATTTGGTTTCCTTATTTGGATTACTTTTTCAAATATGCTTCCTCTGCTGAATTTATAAAATACTTTCTGTTCCATTACCATTTCTTCTTTGATAAGTAACTTAACTTCTTAAAGTTTGAGAATTGAAAGAGTGGCTATGATAGCTCTACTAGATACCTTGTGCTTGCAGGAGAAAACAGATGAAAGGCAATATACAAATGTAATATGAATAGTCTCTGACTTAAGAAACCAAGCTCCACTCTTTTTTTTAAATAAACATACAAATTAAAATTGATAATCTAAAAAGAATTGGGTACTAACCTCCAACTTGGTCTAGAATCTTTGTTAAAGTATATTCTCTTCCTAATTTCTTTTAGTTCTTCTCCCAAAACTCATTTTTAAGACTCCATATAAAAATTTATAATCTCCCACAAATTTAGAATATTATTGGAGTGGGAAAAAAATAAATTACCAGCACTGCCATACATTCCAAAGGATGAGCCCAGATAAAAGTTCCCCAAATGAAAATCTGGATACTGAACAAAGGATACATTTTCAAATCACTTTTTCCTATTCTGCCTCTCCCCCCTAAAAAAAAATCCATAATCTAAATGATTATCTTTAGAAGAGGAGCTTTTAGGGAACATTAAAGTATCATTTGTATTTCAGAAATAGCTATGTGCCTATTTCCATCTTAAAAAAAAAAAATGCTGTTCTTTTCAAAAAAACACTCCACAGGCTCTGTTATTTTCTACAGGCAGCTACACAGTCATTTGTCAGCTACCATGCTGAGCCTCTGCCACTCAGAACTGAGTAGGGAGTAAAAGTTAAGAGGAACCAAAAGCACTATATTATAGAGGTCAGATACTAAGCTTTTTGATCTATCAAGTGAATCACTCCAAGAAAGCAAAACAGATATTTGATCTTCAGAAGATGAATAGAGCCAGGCACAGTGGCATACCCATAATCCCAGCTACTCAGGAAGCTGATGCAGGAGGATCACAAATTCCAGGTCAGTCTGGTTAACTTAGCAAGACCCCGTTTTGAAATAAAAAAGTGAGCCAAGCGTGGTGGCACACTCATGTAATCCCAGCAATTCGAGAGGCTGAGGCAGGAGGAATACAACTTCCAGGCCAGCCTCAGCAACTCAGTGAAATGAGGTTCTAAGCAACTTAGAGAGACCCTGTCTCAAAATAAAAAATAAAAAGGGTACTAGGGATGTAGCTCAGTGGTAAAGCACCCCTGGGTTAAATCCCTAATACCAAAAAAGAAACCCTGATGGACAAAAAGGAAGAGGGGTGTATCCTGGACATGACAAGAAACCACAAAATAAATCAAATATAATCAACATCATTTTGTTTTTTCTTACCTTGATTTTGAGATTGAAAAAGGAAAGTTTTTCCCTGCTCTATAAAAATCCCTACTAACAATTTATCAAAAGATATGAGCCTGGTGATTATGTTCAACATGTAATAAATCAGTGGATGGCAAAGATAACAGAACAATCTCTATAACTAATGAACATGAAAACAACACTATACCTTCTGAATCAGACTAGTTCCTCCTGCAAAAGCAGCTCCATTTTCTTCTGCTATTTCAATCTCTGATGCATTCTACCAAAACACAATAATGTGAACATCAATCTTTTTAACAACTTTAATATATTTTTTAATATTCTATCAGAAATAATTAGCATTCAAAATAAAAATCATGGTTTTATTTTGACATCAATTTTCAATTAAATGTATCAGTTTACAACATTCATTACATGTTTAATTTGTAGGTATTTAAAGTGCTTCTTGACAGACATATGATGAAATACACCAAAATGGCATATTAGAAACCAACTAAATGGTAGGTATTAGTTTTATCAATATATTACCTTTCAAAAGTAAAAGGTTAAAATATATTTAGTTTTGCTAACTTAAACAGAAACATTTTATAAACCAATATTAAGAGGGTAATTTTTTTCAACTTAAGAACTAAAAAAAAAAAAAAACTTACGAGGTGTCTGAAAATTTCAAAAGAAAAATAAATAGTATTAGTTATTTTTTTTTATAAAAAATGGTTTTATTGTGAAAATGTTTCAATCTCTTAGGTATCAAAGTTCTGTGACATTCCAAGAACTATATTCCCCACTTTTCTGGGAAGAAGTAAAGTATCTTCCTTGAGAGTAAGGCAGAGCAAATGAAAAATGCCTCAATTTTGAACTTTGTATAGAGAAGAATCAAAACATAAAACATACATAAACACAGTAAAACAAATTAACAAATCCATTATTAACAAAGAGATGTAGATGGATTACTACATTTGTTATAAACTTTTGTTATAAACATTTGCTATAAACTTGATTTCCTAACTTTCTAGATATTTTTAGAAGATGTGGTTTCTGAGGATACCTAGCACGATTTCCTAACTTTCTAGATATTTTTAGAAGATATGGTTTCTGAGGATACCTAGCACTAAGTGGTACTCTTGCTTTAAAATAATCCTCTTGTGTAAAGGAAGAAATTTAAGTAGTAAGAAGGAGTTACGCAGATAAATTGTATGGTACTCTTCAGTTTCTTGTGAAAAATATAATGTGATGTATTAGTAATGATGAGTGAAATTTTCTATTTGGCTCTATCTCAAATTAGTACCATAAATCCAAATAAGTCATCTGCTTTGAACTCTAAATGGGGAAAACAAGATGCTGATGAATACCTAAATTTTCTCTATTTATTCAGTTATTCAAACCACTGATTAATGTGATTTCTAAAATAAACGAAATGATACAAATAGATAACAAGTTACTCACCCCAGTAAATACAGCAACTTTATTGATTTCTGATGCAAATGGGTATGGAAAACTAATAACACTGGCAAATGGCTCCACTTTTTTCTAAACATACAACAGGAAAAACAATTATAAAAAGTTCATTTTTTTTCTATTATCTCTCACTTTCTATAAAAACCAGAACTGACATGGTTTTCATTCTTTGATTCTACCATATGTCATTAATCCAGAACCATTCTTTTGATTACAAATTAAAGATCAAGAAACTATATATCCTTTTTATGAAAATATAATAAAAATCTAAATCTCTCTTCCCAGCTCCATACTCCCTTAGCATCTGCTTCTCTCTCTTTATCACTTACCACAGTCTCTCAAATATTAAGAGGTATATCTGTATATCTATAAGCCCCCAGCACCTAGTATGATATTTACCATTTCATTGATATAAACAGATGTTTCCTAAATTGACTTAAAATTGTTAAAAAACATGTAATTTTCTGACACAGTCAAGAAAAATATGAACACAGCTATACAAAATGAACAACAGAAAATATCTAATTCATCTGTTTAGTAGGATACCCCTAATTGTCATACTTGCTCTAAACAATTAGGTAAAATAGATTATTTTTTAATATTTATTTTTTAGTTGTAATTGGACATAATTTTTTATTTATGTTTATGTGGTGCTGAGGATTGAACCCAGGGCCTCACATGTGCTAGGCAAGCCCTCTACTGCTGAGCCACAACCCCAACCCCTAGATCCTGTTTTGAAATAACCTGGATCACTATCAGATATTTTTTTTTTTTTTTTGGAAGGGAGCAGGGGGGATTAACCAGAAATCAAAAATAAACAATAGCATGCATTTGAGGCACTCTAATATGGGTAGAGATTCTACAGGGCCTCAGAATTAATCCACTCCATCATTTTGGCCAAGGGCATTTGTAGATCTAAGGCTCAGGTGTCTTAGGGAGACTACATGGAAACAAGTTCTAGGCCCTTCACAGTTTTGTTCAAGCCTTAAGGTTTGGAGGGGAAAAGGAGAGAGAAAAGACATTATTCTGCTAATAAAACTGAGTGAAAGATAACATTCTTTTGAGTAGAGACTCTTGAGGGGGAGGGGATTTGTTTTCTGACAAAAAGGATTTTTAAAATTTCCTTTTTTAAAAAATTTATTTATATGTGTGTGTGTGTGTGTGTGTGTGTGTGTATTGGGGATTAGACCCAGGGCTTACACATGCTAAGCAAGTACTCTATCACTAAGCTACATCCCCAGCCCTATTTAATTATTTAGTTTTGCAACAGAGTGTCACTAAGTTGCCCAGGCTGGTATTGAACTTGGGATCCTCCTGCTTCAACCTCCAGGATAGGTGGCATTACAGACATGTGCCACTGCACCTGGCTAAGAAGGCATAAATTCTTAAGCACATGTTATATCAGTCATTTAACTTATTATTGATTTGCATTCCTTTGCCATTAACATGTCATAACTGGTTTCAGTAGTAAAGCAATCATAACAGCATCCCCCAGGGAATACTGGCTTGTTGTGCACTCTATAAGAAAAAGAAAAGCTTTAGGATAATGACAGTACCTTTTAATGTCATTCATTTACAAATGACTTCCATATACAAAATGAAGCTTGTGTCCTACAAGACATTGTTACGAACTTCTTTAATGGTTAACTAAGAAAAGTATCATCTGTACTACAAAACTTTTAAGATAAAGAACTAAGAGTAAGGCTGGGTGTGGTGGTGCATGCTCTAATCTTAGTGGCTGGGGAGGGGAGGCCAAGGCAGGAGGATCTCAGCTCAAAGCCAACCTCAGCAAACGTGAGATGCTAAGCAACTTAGTGAGACCCTGTCTCTAATAAAATATAAAACAGAGCTAGGGATGTGGCTCAGTGGTCAAGTGCCCCTGAATTCAATCCCTGGTACCCCCCTCCAAAAAAGAACTAAGAGTAACATAACATACAAAATAAAAATTGTAACATGACTGGTATAAACTGTTTCTAATGAAAACTAAGAAATGAGATAAACCTTGGTTCAAATCTTAACTCTACCCGTGCTCCATAACCTTGAACAAGATACTTCACTTTCTCTGTTTCCTCTTCTGACATCATTATAGGATTAAATGAGAAAATAAGTGCAAAACATTTAGTACTGTGACTGATACACAGAAAGTTTTCAGTAAAAGTAATTAATAAGTACTAAATCCTTTACATGTATTATCTCATTTAATCCTCAGTAGAACCAAACTAAATATTTTATCTCTCTTCATAAAGAGATGGAAAAACTGAGACTTAAAGAGGTTAAACAATAAATCCAAAGCCAAAAAGCAAAGAAGTCCAGGGTCAAAATATGGTGACGGCGGGCTGGGGCTGTAGTTCAATGACAGAGCACTTGCCTAGCATGTGTGAGGTACTGGGTTCAATCCTCAGCACCACATAAAAAAACAAATTAAATAAAGGCACGATATCCATCTACAACTCTAAAAATTAAAAAAAATATATGATGACAGCATAATATGGGTTGGTTTATACTGTAATTTGACTCCATTGCCTATACTCTTAAACATAATGCTGTGCTGCTTCCTCCTAGGTGCTTGCTTTCTTTTGCTGTGCAGGTTGTTAATTTGTATTACAAAATTTAAATCTTCTAATTTGGCCCAAAAAAGACATTTTAGAAAATAAAATAAAATATCATTTCTAAAATGTTAGATTTTTTAAAGAGACGTTTATAAAATTTAGGGCTGTAATAGACCTCAATACTAACCTCAAGGTTTTCTCTCTTTTAGAGTTTTATAAAAGTCTTCTGAAGAAATCCAGGGTATGAACATAAAAAGCAGAGAGGCTCTGATTAAAGCATGAGTGAGGAGTTTGGTACCTAAGCCATGCAAACTTAGTCTCATCTAAGACTGTAAGGAATACATTTGAGCTAATCCAAAACCCTCATTTACAAAGAAGAAACATGATACCCAGATAGCTTAAGTTATTTTCCAAAGTTACAATGATATCTCAATTTTAACACTACTTTTGTTGAAATTTATACTAGTCATTCTTTAGGAGTACAGGAGATATATATATTTATCAACTCTCCACAGTGTCTTTAATTTTATATTTTCAATATTTCATATTTCATCTTTCAGACCTGGAAAATTTTAAAATTAACATTTTTTATGACACACTATAGAAAGAGCATGAGATTTTCTAAAAATCATTGTGGGTACAAGAATTTTAAAAACTAAGAAATATCAATTCATATAGTCACTGTTCACAAATAAACATATTTTAATTGGGTCTACATACCTTTTTCCCCAATGCCATATCCAGTGTCAAATCAAGATAAACCCCTTGCTTTGGATGAGTAAAGTCCAAAATTTGAAATTTCTTAAGTAACTGAATAGCTTTCTCCACCTCATATATCTGCCTTGGGTATAAGCGTTTTAAATAGACATCATCTTCAGGTTCACCTTCCATGTAGGAATATGATTTTATTTTTTCTATCTCGTCTTTTTTTTCATCTGTCGCTTTTTCTTTGGTATCTTTTTTTGTTTTCTTTGCAGGCCTTAAAAAAAATTATCAAGATCAGTTATATTAATATTCTAGGAGGTTTTTTTGTTTCGTTTGTATAGGGAATTGAACCCAGGGGTACTTTACCATTGAGCTATAGCCTTAGCCCTTTATATTTTTTTATTTTGTGACAGGGTCTTGCAAAGTTGCTGAGGACCTTGCTAAATTACTAAGCCTGGCCTTGAACACATGATCCTCCTTGCCTCTGCCTCCAGAACCACAAAGTTTACAGGTGAGCTTCACAATGCCTGGCCCTAGGAGATTTTTTAAAGACCAATCTACATAGGACAGAGAACACTAATAAAAGAAAGTTTATTTAATTCAAAAGCATAGATTGCTTTATAGTTTTTCAAATTGAACAAATATTAAGTGAATTTTTCTACTGTTTACAGTCAGTAAAACTTAAATAAAGCATTGATATTGTTCTCCAGAAATTTACAGAGGAATAGAGAAGACAGGCATGCAAACTGATAATTTCAATTTAATGTGAAAAGTACTACGAAAGTGTTATCAAGGTCTTAGGAAAACAAACAACCTATTGTAGGAGAGTATAAAAGAGTGCTAGAAGAGATGACCTCAGAGTCAATTATTGAGGAATAAGGAAGTTAGCATGGATATACACCCCCCAAAAAGAAAACATGTCCACCCCAAAACTTGTACATAAATGTCCCTAGCAATGTTATTCATTAATAACCAAAAGAAATTAACAATCCAAACATCCAACAACTGATGAACAGATACATAAAATGTTGTATAACCATATAATGCAATGTTAATCAGCAACAAAAAGGAATCAAAAAAAGGAATGAAGTATTAATACCCCCTACAATGTGACTTAACCTTAAAAACATTATGCATTTATCAAAAATGGGCATATCAATAGAGACTAAAAGTAGATTTAGTGATTATCCAGGCCTGAAAGGGGTTGAGGAAATGGAGAGTAACTCTTAATGGGGATGGAGTGTGTGTGAAGAATAATGAAAATGTTCCAAATAAAAGTGATCACAGCAGGGTGCATGGTGCATACTTGTAATCTCAGCAACTTGGGAGGCTGAGGCAGGAGAATTACAAATTCAAGGCCAGCCTGGGCAACTTAGCAAGATCTTATCTCAAAATATAATTTTAAAAAGGCAGGACATGTAGCTCAGAGGTCCAGTGCCACTAGATTCAACACCTAATACAGTTTAAAAAAAAAAAAAAAAGTGATTAAGTGATTCTAATGATGGTTGTACACCTCCATGAATATACTAAAACTACTGACATGTACATTATATCTTAATATAACTGTTATTTTAAAAATAAGAGCCATGCAAAGAAACAACATAATAAAAATCACTGGGCCATGAAATAAAATGATATACAAGAGAAGCTATTATAAGTTCTATATGACAAGAGCAATGATTGTCAAACTTTTTCTATAAAGGAACAGGTAGTCAATGTTTCAGCTTTGTGAGTCATGTGGTCTTCTGTCCCAATGACTCAACTCTGCTCTTGTGCAAAAGCAGCCGTAGGCAATATACAAATGAAGAAAGCTATGGTCCAATAAAACTTTATTTATAGACAATGAATTTGAATTTCATAGTTTTCATGTATCACAAACATCATTGTTTTGTATTTTAACCACTAAAAACTGTAAAAATCATTCTTAGCTTGTAAGCTGAACAAAAATAAGTGGTGGATCAGATCAGACCCACTGGTTTGCTCATGTTTGAATTAAAAGGGCAAAAGAGAAGGCAGAACACTATAAAATGACGTTAGAAAATCTACATCACAAGGGCCTCCTTTAAAGGCAAAGAGAAGCCAGTGAACAAGAGGCTGAATTTCAAGGTTGAAATAAGAGAAATGGATCCAAAAGAAGCAGAATTGGAGACAACTAGAAAGCTACTCTCTCCCTAACTTCTCAAGGAGACATGAGAGCCTGAACAAGAATGGTGATGGTAAGGAAGCTGAAAAAGAGTGCAGAACAGAAAAATATTTACAAGGTAAATATTGAAGATAGGGGGCTGAGCCTGTGGCTCATGGGTAGAGCACTTGCCAAGCATGCGTGACACCCTGGGTTCAATCCTCAGCACCACATAAAATAAAATAAATATATTGTGTCTACCTACAATTAATAAATATATTTTTTTAAAAAATATTGAAGATAGGAAAAGGAGAAAGACAAGATTAAAATACTTCTTAGGTTAAGTGATGAGACATAGAATACTATCATTAACTAAGACCAGAAACAAAGAAACAAAACAGGTTTCTAATAAAGCAAACAGCTATAGAGATGAGTGCAGTTGGGATATACAGAGTTTGAGAAAAGGCTAGATTTATCATTTGCCCAATTTTTTTTAAACCTCCCTCTTCATTCTAGCCTCTTTGCTAAGTGACTTTGCAGTACCTCCCACTAAAGGGATATAAACATATTTCCCAGCACCTTGACTTAGCCCTGTGACTAGTTTTGACAGACAGAGTAAAGTAGAAGTGACAGTTTCTCTGTTCTCAGCTTTTCTCAGCCTAGGCCAGAAAAGGTTTCATGTTTTGACTAGGTTTGCTTTTCTGCCATTTTAACAAGAAGAACATGCCTAGACTAGCCCAAAGGTAGGAGGATGAGAGACAGGTAGAACAAAGCTGCCCCACAGAGCCCCAGGCTAGGGTAGACAATTCTCAGCTAACCTACAAACTCACAGATGCACAGCAAGCCCTGATTTCAGACACATTCATCTGACTCTAACCTGGGTCAGCTGACCCATACACAAGTGGGCACTGATAAATAATTGTGGGGAGGTTTGTTACATGGCAAAAGCTATCAAGGTACTTACCAAATACCTAAGAAATAACATTCAACAAGTAATGACAGGTAAGAGTTTGAAGGTAAGAACAAAACTGAGCATTAATTCAAACCATAAATTTTTAAATTAGTAAAACAGTATTCTAGAAAGATATGTGCATTCTATAGTAGGCACAATAATGCCCTCCCAAAGATATCCAAACATTTCTGACATTTTGCCATCTTAAGACATTTTGTTTATTTTAAATAGGAGACATCATTCCTAAAACAAGCTTTCCAGTCTCCCTCCTTCTCTTGGCTTCACTTCTCCCTTTCTAAAATCAGGTAAAAATGTGGTTTCTCCAGTTTGAAGATATTAGAATTTTGTGGAGTACTTCCAAGATTCTAATTCTGAAAACTTGTAAATACATTATCTTACATGGCGAAAGGAACTTTGTAGATGTGACTATGGTTAAGAATCTGAAGATGGAGAGATTATCACTATCTATGTGGGCCCAATCTAATCGCATAGGTCCTTAGAAATGTGAACCTTTCCCCATATCCAGCTATGTGGTGGGAAGACGATGACACTGGAGAAATCAAACATAAGTGGAATTCAACCTGACACTGGTTTGAAGATGAAGAGGGCACAAACCAAGGAATGTGGGCAGCTTCCTGAAGCTGAGAATGGCAAAGAAATGGATTGGCCCCCACACCCTTGAGTAAAAAAAACCATCAACACCTTGATTTTTGCCCAGTGCAACCTATAGTATTTTAGGTCAGGATTCTGACCTAAAGAACCATAAAATGAAATTTTTAAAAAAATTTATTTTAAGCCTCAAAGTTTATGGTAATTTGTATGGCAATAATAAAATGAGTATGGGGTCCTATAAAATTTATGTGAAAGATATGGATAGTAAATATTTTTTTAAAAAGGTCTCAAAAACCAATCTAGCATAATTTTATTCTCACTTTTAGCACTTAATAAATCCTTATTACCACCTAATAAGAGTATCCTCCCAGCTAATGAGCAATTCAACAGAATAGCAGATAATGACAATCCTCATTTTAATGGGGTGCAGAACTGATGACAAGTCTAAGCAAGTGCCCAACTGGATGGATTTAATATGCCTCAATAGCCACCTTAGAAGTGCTCCATAAAATCCTGAAATCTTCCAAACTAGAGAAACCACATTTTTACCTTACATTCAGTAAGGAAGAAGTGAAGCAAATACAAGATAGGAGACTGGAAAGCCTGTTTTAGGAATAAAGTCTCCTATTTAAAAATAAATAAAATGTCCTACCTACAGTCTCCAAACTTACTTTATATAAACGCTGATTTTCACTACTAAATTTTCAGTCATAGTTGAACCAGTGCATTTAATCTGCAATGAAATCTCCAGTGGCTGAAATATGGCTTTCTAAATTAATAAATACTTACAGCCAAGCACAATGGTGCACACCTGTAATCCCAGTGATGCAAGAGGACCACAAGCTCAAGACCAGACTAGGCAACATAGCAAGACCCTATCTCAAAATTAAAAATAAAAAGAGCTGGAGATGCAACTTAGTGGGAAGCATCCCTGAGTCAAATCCCCAGTACCACAAAAAATAAATAGATAGATATTTACAAAAACCAAAAAAATCTGATATGCAATGAGACTAAACAGTTACAGAGCAATTTATTTTATAATTATAGCAATGTTTCACAAAACATTTGAGGTGGTTCAGTAAAAAGTTTTAAGTTTAAAATGGAACATTGTTATTGTATAAATAAAGCAAAAATAGCATAACATCAATATAAAAGATCAAATAATACTCTCAGAAAAACACATTTGCTCAGTGGTAGAGCATATACTTTGTATATATGAGGCCCTGGGTTCGATCCCTAACACAGGAAGAAAGCAGGGAGAGAAAAATGCATTATTCAAATATTTTAAAAACTTCAATTGAACGAACTCCTTCAATAATAGTTAATCTTACAGACCTACTGCCTATTTTCCACAGCCTCCCTCCCCCTAGCAAAAATGTTTATCCTAATTCATAAGAATTACATTCAGAAGAACTTTGTTGTTCAAGCAATTGGGTGAGGCACTATCAGAAGCGTTTAAATATTATGATTTTCATAATAAAATAAATCATACTAGAAAGGTTTGGGAGAAGGTAGGGAAAAACACCTGGCAGTCTAAATCTAAGAGAATAGAATTTAGCTGCAGTTACCTGGGTAACTAAACCACACG